AAAATAAATTTGAGATAAACCATAAAAATGAAATGAATTGACCAGAAAGCATCAAATAGAGTATTGAGATTATTAAGAATTATGAGATTATTAAATATTACATTATTTTTATTTATTATATTTAACACTATATCCCATTATTTTATTATCAAACTGATGCATTATATCCGCAAGACCTATTTCCTCGTTATTTCTCGTGTTTGCCGATCTTTACACAGTCTCTTCGGGGACGAATTTGTTGATCGCTGCCAATAAAAGTTATTATCGTAAAGCAGTCGATTGCAGAAGTGATGCGTTTTTGGCGGAATCGTAAAAACTGATCCCGGGTTTTTTCTCTCGTCTCGATGAAGCAACAAATCCGATATTGACTCGGAAATCGGCGCGGATTAACTTTGTGCAATATGCAGTATCGCGGTTAAAACTGAACCTACACAAGGCTTTCATAGGCGAAGTTTGGCGATCATTTGAGTTTACAATCGTGTTATGTCGCAAAGTCAGCAAACAGCAGCGTTGTCGGCAAACAAAAGGTAACTGCGACGTGAATAACGTATACAATAATTACATGGAAGATTTCTCAATGTCGCAACATATACGATGCGTAATTAAATTCTGACAAACGCTAATCACCTGTCTCTAAAAAAATTAAACTTAGATTACAAATCAATAAATGACAACTTATATATCTTTTGTAGGCTAGCAGACACCATTTTTATGCTTTGCGATTTTTAATTTACGATTTTGAGAGATATTAAATATATTTCAGTGTGTGTTCAATTTTATATATTTTATCTGAAATTTCTTTTGAATAAACATTATAAAGGTTTCACAAAAATGTCAAACAGTTGAATAAAAATTATATACAATTTAATAATATTGCTATTCGACGCAAAATTAATATTTAAATTCTGATAAACTTAATTACTTGGGTACATAAAAATAAAAGTTTAATTGCAACTAAATAAATAAATAAATAAAAATTTGTATTTTTTGTGGAAACTGACAATTTTTTACTTTGTGATTTTTAACTTGTGAACTTTGACATATAATTTTTGCGTGTTCAATTCTATATATTCTATATTTGAAATTTATTCTTGATAAATAATAAAGGTTTTAATCAGTCACAGTAATGTCACATAATTGAATAAAATATTTCTATTCGACAACGCTAAATTAATAAATCCTGACGAATGCTAATCCGTCTCTAAAAAATAAAATTTAGACTAGAAGTAAAATAAATAAAAACTTGAATCTTTTTGTAAGATGACACGAGTCGATAATTTTTATATTTCGTAATTTTCAACTTACTTGGGCTGAAAATGATCAAGAGCCATCGAATAAGAGATAATAAGATCTCTTTCTGACACTTGATACAACGCGCTACTTTGCACCGAAAAAATTGTATTTTAAACGCCAAGAGGATCCTCTTAATTTAAGATGATATTCTTAATTTATTCTTATTTAAAAAAAATACTAAAATTTAGAGGAATTTTTTAAATAAAGAGGATCCTCTTGGCGCTTAGATTGCAATTTTTTCGGTGTGGAGATACTTTGTCTGCTTCCCTGTCGTAATCTTATTGTATAATCTATACGACGGAAATTTTGGACGATAGTGCACGATTATGTAAGTACACAGGCAAGGTAGAAGAAGCGAAAAACCACCCAAATTAATGCACAAAACGCGCGGAGCATCAAAGCTCGAATATTGCCGATGGGGAGGTGCGCGAGATTGCCACCACACGTTGTCAAAATAAACGACACTATCGCGATTTATCTCGTTTCCCATGATAATAAGAGATAAAACTGCATCCTTACATTAGCTAGTATATCAGCTAAAATGATAATTTCAGTCGTCGGATCCGCCAGGAGCGCGTAGGGCCGCTCTTATATACTCACCTCCGATCGAATCGTCGTATACGACCGTTTTGTTGCATTTTTGTGTCACTCGGAAATGCTCGACGAACGCTTTATCCCAAAGTGAGTGCATTGTTAGAGATCTGTCGAGTGAAGTTGAAAGAATGCAGATGGATGGATATTTTTTATCTATCCGTTTTGTTTCTTATCCTTTTGTTAAAACGCGCGTGAATAATGTATGATAGTTTTTAAAAATAAATCTGTCAAATTTTCCTCGAAGTAGTAAGAAATATATTCAGCATACTCGAGGTAAAGTGAAGGACGAGTGGATCTAATTTGAGATTGTTGATTCTCACAGCAGGACTCTGTATATAATAAAGTATGCAGTATGAAATAGAGAAATAGAAAATGATACATATCGTGTGCATCGTGAGGATAGATATATATATATTATCGAGGTTGGCCTAAAAACTAATTCGTGAGAAATTTTTGTGTACTTTTGATGCAAACACGGTGGAAGCAAAAATTGCAAGCGCGAGCACAAAGAGGATTTACGATTTATTAAACGAGACGCGAACACGTCGAGAGACCATTTTCTTTATCAGCCACGTAGAAATTCCTTATCATTGTATATGAGAAAAATTGAAGTATACGTGCGTGAGTGTGTGTAGAGATAGATATCATATGATTCGCGCAAGCGCGTACAAGAATCCGTATCATTGGGAATCTACGCGAAAATGATGTCTTATTTTTGCACGTTGACATCATGCAATTCAAGGAAATTCCGATATACGTGGTGTCCACAAATTTTCGAATGTGTTTTTAATTACAGTTCTTTATCCGATCAGTATAGGGATTTTACGCCAATAAAAATATCTCCAGATTCTCATTATATCTCTATATACGATATCTCTTCAACTTTGATTACTGTGTCTTCTTAATTAATTCTGCGAATTAAGATTGTCTATCTCTCTCTCTTCTTTTCGCTCTCTTTATTTATTTAAAATGTGTCAAAATAAATAAATTTCGCGTCTCTAATATTCAGAGGCCATTAAAGTTTTATTACAATTTAAAAAAGTTCCCAGATGTCATATCATAAAGACGGATCGTAAGACTTAGAAAAAATATTCAAGCTACAGACAACTTCCCGACTCGCATTGAATATTAAGAGGCCAATAAAACTTTATTACAATTTGTAATCAAGCATAGTGCACGCCTGTGCATCAAAATGGCGAATGTTACAAGTCTTTTATGGCCCAATCGGCGTCTCGCAACTCGCGCAAAAGACGAGGAAGGTTTTACGGCGCAATTATGAAAATTTACAACGCGATTCGTGGAGTTGTCTCCATTTTAACGTCGACGGGATTAACACCATCGCAGTAGAATCGCGGTCCGTGCAAACAAATTTCATGCTCATTTTGTTTTCGTCGCAAATATAAGTGCGCTCGTTCGCGTCATAAAATATCCGAAAAAATGAGCTCGGAAGTAGAGGATAATTAACAAGAGAATTATGCAAACCTGAAAATTCTGATTTTGATGAATTATTACATTATACGTAAAAACAGGATAAATAGATGAATATAGAAATTTTTTATTGGTTCAAAAATTCGATATATCTCGAAAAAATGACACGGAAGTTTGCATCGTTGGAATACAACGATTTAAATTTTTCAAAAAAACTTGTGCGTTCATAATAGACAAGATTTACTTGCATGGTTTTTCCGAGGGTGAAACATTATTGTCACCTGTTTCATTACGTTTTTGCGGAATCTCGACACTAATCATGCAGGTAAATCTTGTCTATTATACTACACAAGGTTCTTTGAAAAATTAAAATCGTTGCATTCCAACGATGCAAACTTTAGTGTATTTCGAAAAAAGATATTGGACAGCAGATATGTATTTATATTTGAAATATCAAAATATATTTTATAAAAGTTTTATGATAAGAGTACTACTATTTAATCACATTAATAACATTTTGAAAAAATAATTTTTTTCAAAAATTTTAAAAAATTGCTTTTAAAAATTATTTATAATTTTATAAATTATAAATTATATTTATATATAAATTGAGTAAAGTTTCATCAAAATCAGAATTTTTGCAAGGTTTTCTTGCAAGATATCTACGCATACAGATTTTATTTTCTAATAGCAATAAAATTGTTAGTAATTAAAAAAATTCTAGAGTTTTAGAAATCGTTTATCGCGTTTTTCTCGAACGAAAGAAGAGACATGCGCACGTTTCACATAATACCATAGCGATGTTTGCGTTTCTGCAGCGACGGGATCGAAACTTTTTATTCCAATATTTGTATTTCGAGCGCCCGAATGGAACGTTGCGAGACCTTGAAAAAAATGATTTACACTGGGCTCTCGCATTTGGAACTAAAACCATCACCGCCTTTATAACGGCAACAGATCTTTACAAACGCTCGATCTTTATTAAGGCGTAATATTCCTATTTAATGTCTCATAAGTTTCAAGTTATAATTCAAGTAATTTACATAAATAAATATAAAGTTAAGTTTTCAAGATTTCGAAATATAATAAATTCATCGATAAAGTATAAAATTTAATATTTATTAGGCTTTTCGAGCATGAAATTATAATAAATTGAAAAAACAAATATCAGATGTTCATCGATAAAGATATACATATTATAATTAAATCTGCATTTGTTTACAGAATATATTAATTTCGCGTGTTTAGTATCTTTTATCGAGATATTTTTTGTTGCAAATAGAGAACATTTGCTAAAAAAGAAATGATACAATCTAAATTCCATTAAGAAAATTATTTTAAGTTAGCCCATATCTTTAAAAGGTTATTCTTAAGGGAATCTTAAACGATTGGTTTCTAAACGAATTCTGACGAAATCCGACGGCTTTGAGAAGTCTTATTTTTTTCCTTTTTTTATCGACAAAATATGACAAATATTAAACTATCAATCTATTTATTGACTATACGGAGGTATTTTTTACCTGAAATTAGAACGCTTCGCCTTTTGTTAATATTAATACTTTAATTTGTACAGGAAAAAATTTATCAATCTGTATAGTCTCATATTTCTTGATTACAGAATTATGAATTCTTAGAATTCAGTTCTAATTTCAGATAAAAAACAATCCGTATAGCCAATAAATAGATTTATAGTTTATCTAATATTTGTTGATAAAAAAGGAAAAAAAACAAAAGACTTCTCAAGCATCCGTCGGAATTCGAACAATCATTTAGAACCTTCTTAACTGCGAAACTATTGTATGTCTAATCGAAACTTTCGAAACTTAACGACCGGAAAATCGATAAAAAAAGGATCAATTTTCGCCATCATTATTTCACGATTTTGGTGAAATCTCGGTTTCTTCGTATGACAGAGAGACTTTTCTGAAATTAAATTTTGCCGATTCCGAATATTATAAATCGATCGATAATGGAGCGAAGAGCCGACGGCGCGACGGGACCAATAATTAACGTGCACGACAAACAGTATTATCGTTGCCTGATATTATTCCCATTATCTTATATGTACGTCGGCTATGTGCTTAATGATTAATAAAATATTATCTGCGCTCTCTCGGGGGATATCTTTCTTTCTGACGACGGATAGTTTTGTGCCAGACATCGCAAGGAGCACCGATGCCGATCTGCATCATCCTCAAATGACAATGAGATATTAATTTGGATTGTGCTTTCATGAAGATTCACGTGCCATAAAAAATTATTTTGTTCTTATAAATGGTGTCTACGTGTGTGGATGTCTCATAGTGAATATTTTGGAATCGATTTTATCATGTAACCGATGATAAACTCTTGGAGAAGATTTTTGGCATACTTGTCAAATTCGAGATGTAAAAACGAAGTTGGAGGTGGTGTCAGGAAATATGTGCGCCAAAGTATAATAAAGGATGACAAGTGTGTCTTAATTAAATTGTGAGAGTGTGAGTTTTCAAAATTTTATAAAATTTATAAAGAAGAAATGTGCGTCACATGATTACGTCTCGTCTGAGAGACGTATTTATTCATTGAAATCTTCCGTCGTAAGCACATCATTGGATTTACTTGAATTATCGATTTAATATTTGCCCTGTCGATGTTGTAACCGAATAATCTGGACATCGTCGTTTTTGGGGATATGTCTCGTTCTTAAGTGGCAGATGCAGGTAAATTAATTAAACATTAAAATAATTAATTTGCTTTTGAGAGAAAAAGAAAGAGAGTGAACTCAAAAGTCTGCAAATATTTTCGATCGTTTGTATGAACTAGAAATTACGCATACTTTAATGAGCCCATGTTTTATTGCTCGAAATTTTATATTATTTTTCAGAGAAAAATTTGTTCAATTTTTTATCTAATTTCTTCTCAAAAATAAGAAAGTAATAAATTTAATTATTTGAAAACGATGGTAAAACTAATTTTTCCATCACATATTCACTAACTTTCATACACTATTATTTACGTTTATTCTGATTTTATATGGTGTAATCATCGTTACATCAATAATTACTCGCGTTTTTATGAGACACAAACTTCCCATAACGATGTAATAATACTTGTGCGACTTCGAGTGACGAAACAGCTTGAAATCAAGATTGAACCGAGAAAACCTTTTCTCGAGAAAAAAAGATTTTCAAGAAAAATCTAAAAAAAACTGTCAAGAAATAGAGGGCAAGAATAGTGTGTCTAATAAGAAAAGATTTTGGGACCTTATAATTTGACAAAGAGAAAGAGAAGGCCAAATACAAGACACAAGTGTCGAAGAGTCTCAAGTAGAAACACAAGTGTTTCTTTCGTTGCTCGCTTTATCGAATGTTCATTTTCAATTCTTTCTCGCGTATGTGTGTCGCTCTTTTTCTTTCTTTTTCTTAATAAGATCAGATGAAATCGAATTAGCCGATTCGATGCTATATAACTTTATATTGTGTATTATATCTTAATGTTTTTTTAATATTTTACTAATATAAAACATCAGCCTTATATTTGGCCTAAATTAAATTATAATGTCGATATTACACGTAAATTTGTATTAATATTAATTAAAAATTTCTTTTTATGTGTCAGTATTATAAAATGAATGAGACCTCATCTTCATCTATTTCATCTTTATCTCGAAGAGATACATGTGACAGAAGATCGCTATATAAAATATCTAGTTATTTTCAATCTGCTATTTAATGCGGTTTTTCAAGGCCTATTATTTACCTTCGCTTCTATACTTATTTCTAAATAATACCAATCATATTACAAGGGGAAAAAATCAATTCAACGACAATTAGCGTTTGTATATATAATATTTGCTACCGAAGAGCTAAACGCCGGTCTCTGTCAGCACACAAACTCGCGCGAAAAAAATAATTACAAGACTGTTTCTGACTTACAAGAGTCAACGGAGCAGGAAGATGAGAGAAGCTTTGACCGTCGAGGAAGATTTGACCGTATTCTTGATTTGATCGAAGGCTCGTGATGTGACAGGCTCGTTTCTTCGTCGACTTATTCCGGTCGAATCTGCGAGCGAGACGCGCACTTGACGCAGCTTGACACAGGTGCGTTTCCTCTATACGAGGAGTGCGAGAAGAGTCTCGAGGCCTGGTTCTTGGAGAACGTCGTCGACGTCGACGTCCTCGTCGTCGTCGTCGTCGTCGTCGTCTTCGTCGTCGTCGTCGATGATCTGCTGCCGTCTGGTAGCGCGAGATCGAAGCTTCGATTTGATCCGAGAGACCGTCAAATATTGACTGACAACGATTAGGAGTCGACTGCCATGCTCGACCTTCTTCTGCCATATTGTATCGATCTTCTCCCGCTCCGTCTCGGCCCCTCTCTTCAGTCATTTCCTAATCTGGTAAGTTTCAATGGAAACGACAGTTCTCTTTTCGAAATACTCGAGACGCAGTTTGGCTCACTCAGAGAGAATTCAAAATGAATTTCAAGTTTTTTTTTTTTTAGTATTAAGAAAGGAAATGTCAAAGAGCGATAAGGTGTAATAAAAATAATACAAAACGTATAAAAATAATGGGGAAAGTCGTACATAGCTTGAACAGAGAGACGCTATTTTTCTGACGATGCTGTTAGTAGAATAAAAATAAGATTTAGAGGAAAATTAAACAATCACATGAGAAGATTTAGAACTATTTTGTTTTTCAGAATTCAGCTTATGTATAAAAAATTTGCCAATGATTTTACCTGCTTTATCACGTTTGGGTAGTTTCTCTTAAGGCTTATCCTTTCTGGTATTCAATCTTTTCGTCAACATTAAGATGCAGCAAAATATTTAAAGAAATATAATAATAATTTATATTTGCTATTTTTAGTCTACTTGAAATAATAAATGAATAAATCGCAAGAAATACGTGCTTTGATAAAGATTTATCATCGTGATACAATTACGCGTTGCTTATCGAAGGTTTACTAATCAGTGATTATAATAATCATAATGAAATATTTTCTAATATTTGTCGCACTCACATTTAGAAAAGAAATTTGACAATACACAGAGCACTTTGCTCAAATGACAAAAGGATCGCGCGTATTAATAATAAAATGTACCCCCCAAAAAAAACAATAGCCAAATATCGTATTACAATTAATTTAATTACCATTTCGAAATATTTAACATTTCGTAATGCAAATATAAACTAAATATTTTCTATACCATCTTGCATTATAATTTATCTTATTAGATTTGATCGAAAAATTTGTTGTACAAATTAATTTAATATTTATATTTCATTATCAAATATTCATATTCTGAAAAAACATCTCTCTTTTTTTCAAATTTGAAATTTTTAATTATATTTTTTTCAATTACATTTTTTAAGTAAAGAAATAAATGGTGCGTGTTGTGTAATATTTTAATATACTTGGGCCTTGCGCACAATAGACAAAATATTAGGAATGGGAATAAATATTAAGCACTAAAAGTACAAATAGGAACAGGGAATATCCGCTAATATTTTTTTGCTTCTGTCGATAAATATCTTTATTCTTTGTTCTTATCGCCTATTCTTTTGCATAATAGATAGGTCTAAAACTTAAAATGTTTTTCTATTCTTCATACTTTCTCTATTGTGCGGTGCAGAGGCCTTAAAAATTCCAGGAATTCCTTGAATATAAAAATATCAGGAATTTCTAGAACGGTGAGTTTTAAAATTGCAGTATAATACTATGTAGTATGCCATGCAGTATATATCATTTCTTTGGTTATTTTATTTTTTTGATACTTTTCTCATTTGTGAGAATTTAAATTCGAGCAAGCTAATAAATGATGTCAGTGCAAATCTTCATTATTGATGGTTAATAATTATTAAAGATTTGACAATTTAAAAATATTTTAATTTGTGCCACTTGAATTTATTCTTTCGATATATTTTCGATATACGAAAATTTGAATACTTTCTAATTTTTTGAAAATTTAAATTTTCGCGTTTTGTGTTACTTCTTTAATACTGATTATTTCCCGATATTTCCGATGTTCAAAAATTTAATTTTGCAAATCTTTAGACAGAAGATATTAGCCCAAAATAAATCTCGTATTTATGCGACAAAGTCATTATTAATCATTATAAAAAAATTAACCGCGAAAGTGAATAATGCTAATGTTGAAACTGAAACGTAACAAGGCAGGAATGAAGGAGCACGTATTTAAATCTTGCGATTTTACGAGAAAAGATTTTTATCCTCGGCGCGTTTATTCTCTGTCGCGTATTCGCGTTTTTTATCCGCGCGATTTATTATTCTCTTATCCTAAAGTTATTTTCGTAACAGCTCCCTGTGATGAGAGGGAATCGGTTTACCTTGCCGTGTATAAGCGCGATGTGTATCTACAGGTATACTCAGCCCGGATTATCTCTTATCACCTGCCAGCGAAGAGGGAGAAGTGCGAAGCTTTGGGGGCGGAGGACTGTTGTCATGGTTGCAGAGCATACACCAAGGTATCCGTTGATAAGCGAATCAGATGAGACATCGTCCTAATAAGGCGACGAACCAGCGTGTATTAATGCTCCAGATGCAATAGCGTAATCTTGTTATTTAAAGACATTTTTTATACATAATGGACAATTATATGTCTTACTAAATAGCAAATAAATGCAAAATTTTATTCAATTTTTATTAAATTTATAATGTATTAAAAATAGATCTATCCCGCTTTAACAAATTTCATACATTTTAGAAATCTTTTTAAGAGACTGAAATTAATCAGATTTCATAGAAATTATATATGTGATTATAAAACAATATGCTAAAAAATGTACTAAATTTTGTAATTCGAGCGTCTAAAAAATTATTTCCGAAATATTGTTGTAAGGCTTTTTTAGTCGCTTTTTCTCTGTTAGTTACGCCATTGTTACGGGAGGGAGCATATGTGACTCGCGCAGAGATTAGCCGCGACATTGTATTATCGCCAAAAATACACAAGGATGAACCTTCCTCCGGTCGTTCACTGACTCTTCGCCTCGTCAGCTAGGTAATGTTTTTGTGGATATAACAGCGCACATCCCGTGTTAGCCATATGACTCGGAAAATCCAACCTGATAATTCTACAAGTGTTATTGCCTGGCTTTTAAACAACGCGATTGATGCAATTTTGAAGAAACGACACGCATCATATTACGCGATTGTGCATAATGCACAACGCATCAGTTCCATTTTTACTTCTTCGTAAAACGTCACTTTGCTTCTCACATTATTTAACTTTATAATTAACATTGTAATTATATAATTAATATTACATTTATTATGTTTTTTAATATTTTGCAGTGAAGATCTCAGTTATTTCTAAGTTCTTAAATTTTTTTTTTCAAATCCAAATTTATATCTAAATTTAAGCCATAATATTAAGTACAATATAGTTACGTATAAATTGAAGACATCGATTAGCTTCGGTTTTTAAATATCCCTTTTTATTTAAAAATAATTGATGTTTTGATATACAACATTTTAAAAATATATTACATAAAATATATTGACGCATTTGCGTCTGTAAAACGGTATGCGTTACTAGAAGGAAAAAAACATTATATAATCGTTCACATTTAGTCTTATAATATGCCGTCGGGAAAGGGAGAAATATATGTTCATTCGTATAATATAATTATCTCTATATACTTATTGTCTAATTGTGCATTACATTATTCTTATTGTTTTTAAACATTTTAACGCGATACTGCCTTATATATTGTATAACAAAGGCACTTATATAAAGGCTGATATATGTATCAGCTGCAAGATCCTTATATTACGCTCGAATGATGTATAAGTATATTTATGTCTAATCTTACACAAAAATTCCCGTTTATATGTAGATATATGTATTATGTATATATACAGATACAATATTTTCTGCAATTGTTTGGCATATTGTTTTACATCATGTCGACGCGCAAGACTCGTTAATAAAGTCTTTTTTGGTTAAAAAAAATTGAAAACGAAAAGATTGAATAAAAAAGTAATAGAGAATAAACAATTTATGCAAATGAAAAGTCTGCGTGTCTCTTTCCGAAAAAAAATAATATTAACATCTTAAAAATTTTTAAAAAGAATATTTACAATAACACTATTTTCTCGCGCTTTCTTATACACACATGATTATTAAAGATATACATATAACTTGCGATTTCGCGTATCACAATGCGCGTAAATAAGAAAGTCTAATGAGATGCTTATTTTGCTAGTTAAAAAGAAAAAAAATCGACATTGTGCAAAAGACAATTACACAAATTGAACAACAAACTTTAATATTAGATTATATATGGATTGTAAAATTCAGTAATATGTAAAATGATAATATACATGTAAATATATAATATATAAATATAAATGTATAATATATATGCATTATATAAATATATATTATAGAAATACATATATTTATATATATATATAATCAACAAATCTCCCTCATATAAAATATAACGGTCCAATTTGGAGAACTGACCCGAACTTCCTTCCGAACAGCCTTCTAGGAGGATATTGATACAACCGTAGATCTCTCCAGGTGTATATATATTATATATATATATATATATATATATATATAATCAACAAATCTCCCTCATATAAAATATAATGGTAATTTGGAGAACTGACCCGAACTTCCTTCCGAACAGCCTTCTAGGAGGATATTGATACAACCGTAGATCTCTCCAGGTGTCCATTGTCCAGCACAATCTTGGGACCAGCCGGGCTACTGGACGGACTTCCCAGGGTAACGATATGCGGCGAGGTGAGTTGGTGATGATCAGGCGATTGACCGGCCGAGGCCATTCCGGGCGAACGCGTGACACAAGGTGAGGACGGGCACTCGATCTTGGGCGAATGAGTCTCTATCAATTGCTGTTGCTGCTGGTGCGAACTGATCATATCGTAATACAGGCCTGTGGTTGTGGGCTGATAGGGCACTATTCTGCTCGAAGTCTGGGTGTTGTTGTAGAGATTGCTCGAGTATGTAACTTGCGTATGAAGTGGCGGTACGCCGGAGTGAGCCATCCTCAATTCGTTGAAGGTATCTGACAATATTGAAACATCCACTATATTGTACTTCGAACGTATCGAAAAATTGTGTCAGATGAAAATTAAAAGTTCTAGATATCATTAATAAGATATTATTGTTTACCTGGCTCGAGCTTGATGTTGTTGTTGTTATTATTGTTGTTGTTTGTGCATTGCGCGACGTTGCTCGTGAGAGGCGTGTCGCTGGTTTTCATTCCGCCCTTGGGCTTCCGCTTTCGCGTTTGAATGCTATCTTTCTTCATGGTGGACGGCCTGTTGACGCCGTGCAGCTTGAAGTAGAGGCCACAAGCGTTACACACCGGTTCGCCGTGTGCGTTGCGACGCCACAAAGATGTCATCGTTGTTTCGCAGTTGCTACAAGAGAGACCAACTCGCCTCGTAGCAGACTGAACAAATAGAAGAAATCGTTATTATAAACCGTTCATTGCTCTTCGACCGAGAGAGGAAAGTACATTGAGCTTTGGAAATGATTCCGAGGAAATGATTCCGATTCTGATGAAAGCGCAATGATGATGGATCGCGGTTTGCTCTTAAAAACGCGTATGATTTTAATTCAACAAAATTGTTGCGAAATATTAAAATTTATACGATATAAAAAATGTATAAATACAAAATATGAGTAACTTAATCGAACTGTAAATTTGAGAGGAAACACGAATATTTCATAAGAAAATCGGGAAAAAAATTTTAAATATTCGAAAGCTTCGTAGCAAAGTGAGCGTTAAATGATCAAATCGCTTTCACCAAGTCGAGCCACTAATGAACTCGGATACGAACTCAGGAAGGAATGGATTACCGTGACTAGAAAAAGCTTTCTGTGTGCAAGGTACCGCAGAGAGACCGCGGAGCAGAAAAGCGAGCCGACCCTCCGAAGATCACGCGCAAGCCTGGAAAAACTCAACAAACATCACAAAGAATCATTCCGTGTGATCGTAAAAAAAAATAAAAAAAAAATAAAAAAAAAGAATTACGAACGAAAATTACACGTCAAATAGTGTACTTTACATTTAACAGGCTGCACGTGATTTCAGAGGGTAGGAAGAGAGTGCTCGTACCATGGGTATAGTGGCACCTCGGGGCTTACGATTCGAAAGTCGTGGTCTCCTGCTGAATGTAAACATGTTCTGACGACGAAAATGATCGAGAGGATTGCTTTCGTCGACGGTAATCGATTGACGTTTTAACGTAATGACGTGATGATCGGTTAAAGCGCGAAATTGAGGGAAAGCCAGGGAACAGGAAGATTCGTCGATCCTTATTTAATTTTTGACAGTTCACTATTTTTATAATTCAATTATAATTTTTTATCAATTATAATTATTGACACTCTCAGGAATTTAATTACCGACTCTTAGATACAAATCTTCTTCACTTACTCATCGATATTCTATTCTTACACACACTTAATTAGTGTAATAAAACACTATTCGTTCAAAAGTGTCAATCTAATATATTTGTTTAAAGATATACAAAATGGATAAGAAAAATTACTACTTCAACCGCTACTGCATTCATTAAACCAATCACCAGTTGTTATCCCGTACTCGATCAGTAAAGAATCAACGAGGATGATGATGAAGTGCAACAAAAGGATGGGGGATGCTAATGATAAGAGGGAATAGAAAGAAAGAAAGAGAAAGAGAGAAAAATATTATTGATATACAGTATCAGACAGAAAGAGAGAGAAGAGAAAGAGAGAGAGCGAGAACGAGAGAGAGAGAGAGATGCTGACTTGGGAGGATGACACCTACCAAACGACGGCTCGTTTTCTCCTCCGCGAGGACGCGACGGGAGGCGCCACTATACCCAGAGAAGTAAGATTCTTTGTAGAAATTGGGGTCCACCACTGAAACAGACATGAGGCCATACGTTAGGGATGTTTTTTTCGTGCGCGTATTAAAACATACACGACGAGCCTCGAGGGCTAAATTTTCTCTTTCTGTTTCTCTTTTTTTTTTTTTTTTTCATCGCCTCCTTTCAGCAAAATCACAATCGGGAAGATGAAGGAAAATTGCGATCGCTTGGTCTTACGAAAGGGCAGAACATCACAGGCGAATTTCCACATTAGGCTCCTGGACAGTGACGGAACAACGTGCGAGAAAGGATCCTTCGTGTTTCTTTCTCTCTCTCTCTCTCTCTTTTTCTATTTTTCTCACTTCGTTTCTCTCTTTCGAGTGTACCTTGCAAAATCAATCCGGTTTCACGGGATCAGAACGTTATACAATATCATCGAAATTGTCCAGGTTTCTCATCAAATTTTTCAACTGTCAAAATTTTTTCCCGTTGTGTCAAATATTAAAAAAAAAAAAAAACGCAAATAAATCTGTGATTTCGTCATCAGATCGTTCTGTTCTCGTTGTTCCGAATAGCGTAGCAGGAAACGGGAGAGAAAGGGAGACGTCCTGAAGCCTTCCTTACCAAGCGACGTGGTTGCTTAACTAGAGGACGATTCATTCCATTCATCTTGTGGTAGAGACCGCATGCGTTGCAGAGATAATGTCCGGTGCCATCCCTACGCCATAAGGGTGTGGAAATCGCGCCGCAATTGACGCACTCGCGACCCTCCGTAAAGTACTCCGCCTCGATGTTGTGCACTGTGGTTTTCGCATTCACACTTGGGTTTCTCTTTTCATAACAATCGCACACAAAATACGCACATGTATGCGATCACATATATGTATATACATTATATTAGACAATTAACATATACAGGGTGTATTGAAATAAGTGCGAAACATTTTGGGAGATAATTCTTGAATTTGAAAATTAATTCTTACGCTTTTCTAAAGAGGGAGGTAAATATTTTTTTCTAACTTTTAAAAATTTTGTTTTAATTTGAAATTTGAGGAAAAGAATCCTCCCTGAGAGAGGGATTAAGAGTATATGTTTATACAAAAAAAGGATTCGCCTTAATTTTCGAAAAAGAATCATCTAAAATTTTTTGCAATTATTTAGATAAACCTTATATATATTACATTTTTGTTTTTATAACTAAATGCAAATTTGAAATTAAAAAAATCTGCAACCAGTTGATGGGGTTAATAATCTGGAGCTAAAAAATAATTGATTGCCAATGTGTTGTTCCCTTTCCGAAAGACAGCATGGTGTATATAGTTAGTGATGGTTCATTCAAAAAGATAAAAAATGATAAAGTTATGTAATATAATATCTATATGATTATTGACGACGTAATATATTTGATAGCGCAGTTTAATTATAGTTAAATGATATCGCATTATTAAGTGTTTAAAATATAATTATAAAACACATATGAATATACTCGTAGAATCGACTCATCCCTGTATTCTACGTAATTTGTAAAAGAATTAATTTGAAATTAATTATTAAATTTACGTATATACACACAGATACGGTTAATAATCAGAAATTTAATTGGACGTAATTCATTAATTCGATTTTAAATAAATTAAGTGCAAAGATTACTTGCTTTATATTTTCACGTCTCTATATATATATATATATATTTTAATTTTTATCTCTTATATTTATATATTATACATTTTTATTTTCCTCTCTGTTTCGCAAAAGCAAGTACTCTTGTCAAGTCAGTTAAAAGCAGGCGTAACGCAAACGCGGTGCGGAATAAATTTAGCGAGATAGTACACAACAGCGCGACCATGTCGCTTTTCCCACGAATCTTTCCTTTTCCCCATCGCAGAAGCAAAAAAAAAAAAAAAAAAAAAAAAAAGCGCGCAGCCGTATAATAACAATACTGGCAACTGCTTCCGGCGCAGGCGCGACGCAATTTTCGCGACCAGGTAAAAAGAGCACACTTAACACACACGTGTCTCCGACGAGAGTAACCATATCTGCGCGGTGGCCTGTTTTTACGTGACCACTCGGAAACAATTGTTTCGTTGGCTCTCGTTGGCGCACACCGCCTCTCTCTTCCCTCCTTTCCACATTACGTGACTATGAATATGCATAGTCTCTCTCGGACCCGCGAGCGCAACGTGGAAGGTAAACTGCATTATTTCGGATTATGCGAAAAGAAAAAAATTGCGAACAAATATTCGCGATCGAAAGAAGCGAGAAATTAATAAGATGTAGGATGACATGATTATTTTTTATAATTTTCCCAATGATCCCATTAAAAAATCTTGGTCTCGAAGTAAATGACTTTTGAATAAGGCCGTTCTTAATGACTTAATATTTAAAATCCAATTATTAACGTCTGAAGAATTTTTTAAAATCGTTATTTCGGATTATGCGAAAAGAAAAAAATTGCGAACCAATATTCGCGATCGAAAGAAGCGAGAAATTAACAACATGTAGGATGACATGATTCTTTTTTATAATTTTCCCAATGATCCCATTAAAAAATCTTGGTCTCGAAGTAAATGACTTTTGAATAAGGCCGTTCTTAATGACTTAATATTTAAAATCCAATTATTAACGTCTGAAGAATTTTTTAAAATCGTTATTTCGGATTATGCGAAAAGAAAAAAATTGCGATCGAAAGAAGCGAGAAATTAATAAGATGTAGGATGACATGATTATTTTTTATAATTTTCCCAATGATCCCATTAAAAAATCTTGGTCTCGAAGTAAATGACTTTTGAATAAGGCCGTTCTTAATGACTTAATATTTAAAATCCAATTATTAACGTCTGAAGAATTTTTTAAAATCGTTATTTCGGATTATGCGAAAAGAAAAAAATTGCGATCGAAAGAAGCGAGAAATTAATAAGATGTAGGATGACATGATTATTTTTTATAATTTTCCCAATGATCCCATTAAAAAATCTTGGTCTCGAAGTAAATGACTTTTGAATAAGGCCGTTCTTAATGACTTAATATTTAAAATCCAATTATTAACGTCTGAAGAATTTTTTAAAATCGTTTACAGAGATGTGTTATAAAAAGGCAAATTCCGTTTTCGAGTGCTTCATACGTCGAAATAAATAATACATTTTTATTGCGAACGCAATATAAATGATAGATATTATAAATATTATATATTTATATGCAATATAGTTATTATGAATCTTGAAGTGTTAATAATCATTCAGAATTTTTCCTGGTTGCGACTATGAATATATGAAAATCACTGGAAACGCGACAAGGAGCACGAACGAATGAGAAAAGGAAGGATGCAGGAAGTATAAAGGCGACGAGGGAAGCATGGAAACGGACACGGCGTTATCAGAATTTCCGGCGTTTGCCGATAATGACGAGAACGTACCCGGTATATAGTCGCGCCATGTGTTGCCTTAAAAAAATGCCTACAAAATTATTTCTAAATAACAAAATTATTAACTGGACCATTGAAGCAAATTTGACTCTTCGAACAACTTCCTATATTTTCGGGAGATTTTCTCAATTATAAAATCATCTACTAAACGATTAAACTAAAGCGCGTCCCTTATCCTTCCTAAGGGAGAGAGAGACCGAACGGATCACTTGACGACGGAGAAAAATAAGAGAATTCATCTCGAGTTACTCGGTGAAAAGAGAAAAGAAGAAAAAGCAAAGCGGAGGAAGAAGGAGAAAGAATGAGGAGAGAGGTCGGCGTACGCGAGCAGCACATCCGGCAGAAATGCCACTGGGAAGCAATCGGATATTGTATGTAGGTAAGCAAGAAGCTGCTGCTGATGTTCTCGTCCGCGAGTCCTACGAACTCTCTCATAGAGAGTGTATTATGCACAGCGGGTCGAGTTGCATTCTCGCGCCTTCGTGACGCCACCTTGACCCACAAATACCGGGTTATTAATTGTCGGAATTTTTTATCGGAGCGAATCAAACATTTTTGCAGAGGGTTAGATTTATTTCGAAGACTGCGAATAAATATATGCATATAGTGGAATTACATAATATTAAAATATGTGATATTATTCTCGGTATTCGATAAATATAATAATAAAACGAATATATAATAGTAATAAAAAATGTATATTAGAAATTAGAATTTAATTGGATATAATTGATGACGTGTGTATACGTTTAATTGCAGACCTCGTTTTGCTTCCATTAGCGACTTATCTTCCGAATCATTAAATTAAAATTAAAATCAAGCTATCCGATTGCTTGCCGTCCATCACGCTGTTCTCGAAGTAGAGGAACGTCCGTAACTAGATATGAAAGGAAAGAGGGCAGAGAGGCGAGGAATAAAAATGCACAGGCATTGAATTACCAAAACCGACACACTAGGACGAAGAGGTCAGAGGACACGAGAATCTTCTCGAGATAGGGAGCGAAATCGGACTGGAAAGCAATCGGATATTATGTAAGCAAGACGTGGCTGACGTAGCCTCGGGAGTATCCTCTATACGAAATATCCTGCTACGTACAAGAAGGGTTCACGTTGCATTGTCGCGACTTTGACCTAGGTGACACGTCGTCTCTCGGAAGAAAAGAGAGAAAAGGTCGCGGGAAATGAGACATATTCGAGAGGAAAAATAACGAGGAAATATTTACATATTATACATCGCTTAAAATCAAGCGCGATAAATCGAATTGTGACGTTATTTCTTGCAGGCGAACTTAATTTCACAGTTAGACGATTATATATACCGGGGCGCGCGATAATAAGCATTGCGTTATCGTCGCATTAACATTCTTGTTCACCTGTGCTTTTGTTCCCTGCGAGCACTCTCGCTAAGCTAATCTGCCCTCGGCTTCGCGATACTTGTTGTTATTTCATACTGAGAAAGCTCAATCAATTATAGGTCGTCCTATAAACCCGCAACCTTTGTAAATGCCCCGTTTGTGCGCCAGGTGTTCAGACACATATTGCACGCACTGCAATTGCCATTTACGACTCCTTATTTATGACTCTTCGTCCTTCCTTGTCCTTTAATAGCCAATCATTATTATAAGATACATTCGGTACTTTGTAAGAATGATTTGCATATTATAAGATACATTAAAGAGGCATCAAGGAAAAAAAGGATTGATTCTTTCAATTTTTTGACGTTCACAAGTTTCGATTTTATAGCCGCATAAGACGCAATTTTATTTATTCGAAGAAACAGTGATAAGAGATTGCTACATTAATTTTATCAAGGGAACCTCGCAAATCTCGAAAATTGTGATTTTGATGAAATTTTGTAGAGATTGTAGAAATGAATTTAGAAATTTTTTATTGCGGTCCAAAAGATTTTTTAAAAATTAATAATACTTTTCGAGATTATCTAGAAAAGCAAAAAGCTTACGTATAAAGAGTTTTATTTCTTAAAAAATGTCCAAGTTTATCTATTTATTTCTCCTACATGTGTTGATCAAAATCGGAATTTGCAGACTCGCTTCGTTCTCTTGTTACTCCGAAACATCTCGCTCGTAAATGCAAACATAAATGAAAGTGAAAAGAGGCGAGCTGCGCGATCGAACATCGTTCATTTTATAAAAAGAAAATTTTTGGATCGAGCCTCCAGATTAATTTACGGACGGCCACGTGCACGTGGTCCTTCAGGATGATGCAGGGCTGTCACGGTGTTCTTGCACCGACGTTATACGACGTTTATACACGAAAGCATGCCAAGAGAGATGTTCCCTCCTTTAGATAGAAGGGAAATACGCGTGTCTGGCGTGGTTAAACTTAAATACTGAACTCGCGGACTCGAGATATACTCTC